CTAGCCAATAAAAATTTATCGTTATTGTGTTCTAGAAAATTTATTTGTTCCAGAAACTGTATGATGTCGATTAAATTATTTGCCAATCATGATCTTAAAAAAAATCTGCATAACGATAAACTCTACCCTTAAATCGATCGACAATAATTTTTACGTGTGACAAATCGTGTGACTGTAAACGCGCAATTTACGTACGTTTACATATGTTTGCGTGCATCGATTTCTTATAGGACTTTGGCAAGTTATTTGATTATCTGCGAACATTTGGGATCATTTACATTGCATGATAACAGTGATCTTGAGAATTTCGATAGTTATGGGAATAATAAACATCAAGGAAATAAATTATGTGATAAATTTGTACTGTACCATGAAGACAATGAGCAAACGCCTACCAGGATACACAACACCATTTATACATGCATATCCGGTTTACGAATCTATCGTTTTTCGGACTACCTGATGATTTTTAAGTGGTGAACCAATCAAATCGCAAGATCAATTGTTGTAACGAAAAATGGTAATTTTTGAAAAATAGCTTGTAACTCGAAATTTTGTTCTAACAAAAAATGTTCATTGCGACATTTTATTCTATGCGCTTGTGCACACGATATACAATATAATCTTAACTCTGACTCTAACCTAAACTTTGATTAAAATGTTATTAATATTCATATCTTCCGATTTGATTGGTTTTAACCTTAAAAAATCATCACGTGGTCGAAAAAGCTCTGGTGAATTCGTGGCGATACTTAACCTTAAATTTCATCTCTTCAATATTAGTGAGCTTAAAAAATTAAATTCCAATCCATGCCAGAACATAATGAGAAGGAAGTGATGTCTATTCATTACTAGCTTGGCACTCTAAGAAGATAGTTCTTTTTAACAATTATTGATTTCTTATCAGCTAAAATATATTTTGTTCATAATGTACAATTGATGCTGTCAAAATGTATGTCATCGTCAAAGGACTTTTAGTGCATTTAGACAGTATATGCATTTAGGCAGTAAAAATTTTTTATATTACAAAGTTTACAACCAATCATATCTTATTTAAATTTTAAAAACAGGAAGTAAATATGTTATTCATTTAGTGAATATGTTCATTTAGACAGTATCGACTGTACATGTTATACCATTTATTTTTCTATCATTAGGCGTACATGTACTTTGCTATGCGAAAAAAATAGACTTTCTCTGCAGTAATTCTGTAAATCAAAAAACAGTCCAATTTGAACAAAAACAAAAACATGTATTCTATTCATCGTCTACTTTAATATTTGGAACACAATTTGAATCAGATAATCTTTTGGGAAAGTTAACGTGTTGATCATTGCAAACGTAAGCTTTTGTCCTACTGTATTTTTCCAATACATGTACCCTTAAATCATTTGGGACAACTTAGCCCTATCAAGTTGTCGTTTACTTGAGTGGAAGGTTCTCATATGCAGTATTTTCAAATAAAATGGAAATAATTTTAACCAGGCTCGCTTGTTTCTGCAAATGGCACTTGCATCAGTTATTTGATGGGCAATCATTTACAGCACAATTTCAATACAGTATTCATGCATGACTATCACTACTATGTACATGTACATGTACATGAATTAACTTTTATTCGTCCATTACCGTTACTGTATTAATCAAAAATTTAATTAAAACTTGCTCGTTGAATATAAGATATTAAACTTAAAAATCTCCAATACATTTTTGTGACCATTGTATGATATAGAAACGAACTTAATTTATTGTATCAATCGGAAAATGAATTTTCCGATTTGGGTGAGTGTTATTAACGTATATGGATTTCGATATGTATTCACAAAATACTATTAATATCTCTAATAAAGGATAATAAATAGAATCAATGTAAACTATTTACGTACTCATTGAGGTTCCAATAGTAGAAACCAAATCAATGTTTGAGGAAGGAAATTCATTTCTCCGCGCCTTATTGCATTGCAGGAGTATTAGAGGAGTGAAGTTTATACTGCTAATAAAATATACAAATTCAAGGTAAAATGATAAAAGAATACAACTAAGTTTATTTGTGAGAGACGTTGAAAGATAGACTTAGAAACAATCCAACAAATCTTCCAAACATAATTAAAATCGCGAAATAAAAGATAATGAATTTAAGCCATCCAGAAACGCCCGATTCGAAAAGTTCATCAAATGCATCTTCGTTCTCATCGTTCACATTTATGATTACGTGTTTAACTTGTGGATTCGTGTTTAGTTCTTGACTAATTGCATCGTCATCAGATTTATTATTTTCTTGTGGATTCGTGTTTAGTTCTTGACTAATTGCATCGTCATCAGATTTATTATTTTCTTGTGGATTCGTGTTTAGTTCTTGACTAATTGCATCGTCATCAGATTTATTATTTTCTTGTTCGAATTGTTCGTCCCTTTTTATTGTTAAGCTTATTTGATTCGGTTCCGTGTCAGCAATTTGCGCATAGTCATAATTTTTCTCTAGAAATTCTTTGACAAATTTTTTTAATTCTCCAAGTTGAGATACTTGGTCGATCATGCAATTCTCTTTGCCTATTTCGGATTCTATGTTTATAGGATCGTCAAAGCGAAATCGAAAGGACATGGATGAATAAATCATTGGCGCAACCTCGAAACAATGGGATAGAGTTTCCTCAACTTTGTCAATGTCGCGTGGATGAAGATTAATAATGATATGATTTTCTCCATCTTCAAACGAGTCGAATTTACGTTTAAGTTTTGAATTCGAATTAATATCTTTCTCGCACATTTTTGTTGTGTGTAAAAAAAGGTATTAGAAAAGTTTGGTAAAAAAAATTTCACTACTTTTAATGTAGTAATTATCGTGCAAACGAGCCTTTTTATTTAAAATTCAAACAACACCACTCTTGATATTTTTATTTGGCGCTACTTGACAACAAAGAAAATGAATGAGCATACATTGTTGTCTAAAAATTTTATGGATACAATTTATTCGTCGTAAATTTGTTGTACAATTAATTGATTAACAAAGAGACAGAAAAAACTTATTTCCGGAGAGGATGGGATTTATTTAGAATTTCATAATTAAATTTCTAATTATGGTAATTTTAAATTTTACCTGAAAATGCTAATGTATGTTGGCATTAAATTCAAATGGTCTTAGCGGGGTCTGCGTCGTTAAAAGTGACGGAGAATCCGGCACTTTTAACGACGCAGACCCCGCTACCCCCCATATGCAGTGATCATTTTTGAAATTAAATACGTTCAAATTACGTTTTAAAAGGATCACGACACGCAATATTTAGCATCGGCAAATTTTTATTCCAGAAAGTCAAATTAGAAAACAAAACCAAATTTTGATATAGATCTTCATTGTACATGAACATGTACATGTAATTGGTGCCGGTACGAATTAGCATTAGCCCCAGTTATTGTTGTATCGGTATGTGTGTTGTACGAACTAACTAGATAACTTCGGTGATCAAATCTAGCAACCTGAATTCTAAGTATTTAAAGAAACGTAATGTAATTTTATATTTCCAAAAATAATTTTATCGGAGCTCACAAAGCAAATTTAAAGTAATGATTCTTTAAAAATTTTATCCATAAAGATAAGAATTTTTGCCGCACGTCTTTGACACTATCTAATCAATTATCATTAATCTCTATGGCATGCGCATTTGAAGCTTTCCAACGAATAAGCACCTTGTGTGCTAACCAAATTCGTAACAATTTACTTTGTATTATTTTTCTTTATCTAATTTGATACCAATTAAGTACCTGAAAGGACTGGTTATCCGGTAAAAGACAAGCTATAAAATTTTTATTTACATGTATTAGATTTACTCTAATTCATAATAAATATTAAGTTCTCATCAAATTTAATTTGAGCGATTATTAATCTTTTAATAAATTAATTTATTATGCTAAACTTTGCTAATCCAATAAAGCAAAAGTATTGTTCGCAATTACAATACAGTAAATGCTGTATTGATACCGAAAATTTGATATCGATCTAAGAAAAGATAAACCATATCGTTACCGCAATCGTTATAAAAACAGGTACATGTTCACTAATACTGTATGCATGCACATGTTTATGCAACTTTTTTACAAAGAAAATAAGTTAAAATATAATGGTAAACGAAATACAAAATATTAAAAAGGTAACATTTATGTATGCACCGGAAAGTCGCGTAAAATCTTTGTGTTTTAATATTATTTTCGTCGAAACTACATATTTTCTTCCGAGTTCTTTTATATTATTGGTGTCTTAATTGGAAATTATTGTTTTATACATTATCTATTATTACACATGTATACATAAACAAAAACACTAAAAATATGATACTATGTATTGATGTTTTTCGAAAAACAAAACTAAACTCAATGTGGACTTTCGACCAAATTAATATACACATTAGCTGGAATTTGCTCAAGATTTTTTTGGAAGTATAAGACGGTTTTTAAGCTGAAACTGTATTTTAAGGGAGCATTAGCATGCTACTAATAGTTAAAATAAACTTTCCTGACCCAATTATTTGCCCGCGTTGAAATTCCGAAAGTTCTGTTTTCTTTAACATAATGAACAATGAAAATTACACATCCCTCCAGTATATTAGCGAAAATTGGTCGCGCAAATGCCGAGCAAAAATTTAAAAAGCCGATTTATTGGTATTGTACACAAATCAACACAAACAACAACAACAATAAACAAAAAGAAACTTGGTTTTTCTTTCAAAATGCATGGGAAGGAGTTGAACGCAAATCAATACAAACAACAACAACAATAAACAAAAAGAAACTTGGTTTTTCTTTCAAAATGCATGGGAAGGAGTTGACAAATGAACATTAGGAGCGAATAAATCTCACATTTAAATTCAAGATTTCTCAATATGATATCATCAAATGATATAAAGAAACAAATTTCCACATCCTGAAAAATGTTCTGGTTAGCCAAAAGCTCCGCCAAATCATGAAAAGTGTACTTAACAATGAGTTATTCTAAAAATGGGTTTTCTCCACTTGGTGAAATCACAAATGGACAATCTCAACACCATCCATTGGGGATTTTCGATAAATTATGTAGATCATATTTATGTATAGTTTCATATTAAAAACAATTAGATAGATTTTTTGTGTAACTGATGTGATGATTAATAATGATTATCTTTTGTTTTCTACACACGTAAATCTAAGAATACTTTAGTCGCTTATTCTTCCTCGTATTATCCTCTTGCAAAACATTCTGTTGTTGTTTCCGATGTTTATTTCGAATCTCCGTTAAACCAGAGGAAATATTTTCTTTATCAATATCTTCCGATGAAAGTCGTAGTTTCAATTGTTTCATATTCAGTGACATATTCAGATGAGCTTTCAGATCTAGCTTATTAAAAAGTCCTTCCACTTGCTGTTGGTGAATTAAAATATAATAAATTCTTTTTTATTTTATATCAAAATAAAAATTATTTCTTAATAAAATTATGAATTTTTGATGTAGTAGTATCAATAAAGATATATACGCCTATCCTAAAAAATCGTTTGAGATCAAATTCATTTAAGAAAAATGGAGTAATATTAGTTGTCGCGATTAAATACCATTATTTTTAATAAATTATCTTTTATGAAGATGATCTTTTGTATCTAAATTGTTTGGAAATGAAGAAATTAAGGCTAAATTCATTTCTGTAAAATAATTTATCAATAAAAAATTGAGCTGATTTGCAATTAAACTTTAATATCATAACATAAAAAACTTACAGCTAGATGTCTTAACAATTCCAAAAATTTTTCAGCCATTGACGTTGACAATTTACGATTGAAAAATATTATTAATTAACAACTCTAAAACTCTAGATCAATGTTGAATGAAAGCCCATACGCTTTTTTGATAGTTTCAATTATAAACTTTGCAGAGCATTATTTCTTTCTGATAAACTAGTAGATACTGTAGATATCTTTTCAAGGCGGAAAGAATGTCCATTTGTAATGTTTTAAAAATCTGAAATTGTCTTTCTTCTCCACTAGTGGCATACCATATGTGTACGTTAGTAATACATTAGCGCATAATACATAAAATAAAGTAGCTCAAGCAATAATATATTGACTTTTATAATTAATCCATATTCATCGTCGTCTTCATAGTTCTTTTTATGGAATATCTCTATATAATATTTATTAATAAGCTCTACAAAGAACAATCTTCGCGTATAAATGCTTAAGGCATAAGAATTGTACGTGAAAATTATGACTGAACCCGTCTTGTGATGCTCAGGCGTGATGGTTATCGATTGAAGTTCGCTAAAAAATGAAGATTCTATCATTTAATAGAAATTGGGCTATATCTCTTGTATTGGTCATTTTCGTATAAATCTTGAATAATCTTTATAACCCGTTGCAAAGTCGGTAAGACTATTTGAAATGACATTTAATATTTCTCGACGATATATATAAATAAACAAGTGAAGTGTTATGATACACACCTTACCGAATAATGAATATCAAATAATGCCGATTTTATCTTTTGAACGATAATTTCTGCTAAAGAATCCTTTCGCCTAATTACTTTCCGACCTTGTACAATTTCTTTTTGAGAGTATTTATAGTGACTTCATCCAGACCTCTATTAAGATAAATTCGTATATGTTTCCTATTGCTAATGTCAGGTTAGAATTGAATAAAAATTCAAGAAACTCGCTATTCGCCGATAACTTGTCAAATATCCGCAGACTAGAGAGAATCGATTCCTTGCGTATGTTAAAAATGCTTTCCGAGGCAAAATAGTGTTGTATGAATTTTGAGATTATATCTGCAAGCTTATTCAAAAGATTCATCCGTGTTTCTGGTTTAATATTTAACCTTTTTATGAGAAGTAGAATTAGTCGCGATCTTAAAAAAATATCCGCACGAGTTGATACAAGAACCACATATAATAAATTTCTATTTGTTCTCTTCTGTCTTCTTCAAGTTGCTCATATAATGTATCATTCAAGGATAAGAGAAACACGTCAAGTTCCTTATTGAATAGCTGACAAGGTCCTTGCCAAATGTTCGCTTATCAAAAAAAAGAATTACGATTAATAATTTCATTATTACCGTCGCACCCCCAATGCACACGCCATATAAATGCTCTCTAAGTGCACGGTACAATCTGGGCTCAACTTATAAGAGCTCTATATATTTGCTCTCTATAAAAAAATACCCTCTCTAAATTTACACTTTGCATTTTTTTACTACAGTCCAAGAGGTACTACTGTATAAAGATCTTTAATTCTTACAGCATACTCAATATCGAACATGAGAGAGTCTTCAATTTGCTATCCATATCCTCAGTTTTTCAAGACTGTTGATATTAAAGCGTCCCAATAATGCTGAATGTCATGGGAATCTTTTTTATGAGCTAAATATATCCAGAATATGTCAATGAGGTAGTTAATGGATGGAAAGAGGAATCAATATGATATTTTCATAAAATTTTCCATCAAGACAATTTTCTAAAGCCTAGTTTTTAGAAAAATATATAATTTATCACAAGGATATAACTTTTTATTTGAAAGATCATATTTGGATTTCCCTTTAGTGTAGCGATGTCCGAGAAATTAAGATCTTTGAATTTATGAAAATCATAGTCATACAGTTAAGACCAAAATAAAAGATATAGTTAATAAATAATACCCACTCCAAGACTGCTCGCATGTAGCCAAAGCAGTCAGAAAGGGATCTACCCCAAATCCCGAACGCCAAAACCCGACGCCAAAACCCGACGCCAAAATCCCGATGTTCAAAATC